ATAAATGAAATGGATTAATAACAACTGAAATGGGTTTCCCAGGACAAGGTTGAATGGAAAATGCAGGTGAGCGGTCTATCCTCCTCCACGAGGAGTAACAGGTGTAAGTATGTAAGTAATGATTAGAGACGTTGAATCTGATGGTTTCGGATTTATCTGAGTAGCTTAGATGTATTCATATTATCTTAAATCTTAGTATTTCTTTATACATACCTTCTTCTCAAACTGTTTTCCTAATGTTTTGTCTATTTTTACTACTATTGATACTAGTATTACTTTAACTGCATTGTTTCTCATGACGTTAATTTAGCTTCGACATGCTGATATGGTTTGGTCAACTGGGGCTGATGTTAGTTTTTCTCAAGGTCTATGTTGATAATGACTGACTGACTGGTAATGTTTTGCAAATAAGTTACTACGTCTACAGTTCTCACTATAATACCCAAATAACATGAATTTAACATTGATTTTGTGAGCGGATAATATTAAGGAGTCCAATACTAGGACTGTCCATTCTTATGAATCTCTAATGGTTTATTTTTTAAGTGATATCAGTTTACCATGGAAATGATCATTTTACTAGTACGGAATCTGTAAAAAATTACCTTTTGTAAACTGTTTTATATTTTAATGCATAATATTTGTCAAGGTTCTTATTTTCCCATTGATTATGCTAAGAACTAATGTTTGTCGGTTTCCTACTTGTCTTACACTTGTTGCATATGTTAGTAACTATCTGCACTCAATAGTCTGGTGGGATAATGCGTCGATATTTGAAGTGAAAGGTAGTCGATATAAGTCTCAATATAAACATCAACATTAGATTACAGGTTTTCATCTAGATAGTGAGTTTTAAATAGAACGAGACAGATATTTTGTATTCCGTTGCTAGCCATTATTCAAACTTAATTAATGTACAAAGTGAATAGATGATTTTTCGTTTATTTTCAATATATTAATCAGCTAGTAGTAAATTATATGTGGTATGATCTCAAGTTTATATTGTTAAAAATAAACCAATCTATAGAAAAAAAGTCAAGATAAAATAGGGAAGTATTTCCATTCATCTATCCGATTGCATATTACTTACTGACTTACTTAAGCCTGTTACCCCCAATGGAGCATAGGCTATCGACCAACATTCTCCAACCCACTCTGTCCTGATCATTCCTTTCTAGTTCTATCCAATTGTTGTTCATTCTTCTCATACCTGTCTCCGTTTCTCGGCGTAATATGTTCTTTGGTCTTCCTCTTCTCCTTTGGTCTTGAGGATTCCATATGAGGACTTGCCTTGTGACTCAGTTGGGTGCTTTCTTCAATGTGTGTCCTATCCACTTTCAGTGCTTCTTCATAATTTCTTCCTCCGCCAATTGTATTCATTTTTGTTTTATTAATGAACATTTCTTTCACTTTATATTTGTGCTACACAATATTTCATATTTCAGTGTAATCATCTCCATTGTTAGGCGTTTGCATTGTTCATCCATTGTCGAAGATCATAAGAAATATGTAAGATATATTCAATTTATGTTGTATGAGTTAGTAGGATAGATCAATGTTTCATCCTTTCTCTTCTCATTTGTTAAGACAGTGTTTAAATTCACTCAGTACTGGAAAAAATAAACACAGTTCTAGAAATGTGACATGAATCATTTCATTGAAATATCTCATCAATAATCTGTATATAATAAAGCCACTTACAATTTCCCGGGTTGTTTTTTTCCCCATTAATCTTGACCTAAATCTTCAATACACGATAGCATAATTTCGTTATTCTGTCTGTCTTCCTTCCCATTCTCACCTTGTTGAGCAACATTTTGCTAGATTAAATAATTTCTAATATGTTGACTGCATAGTTTTTGATCGTTAATGTTTGCACTGTTTTTCGTTTGTCATTAAACACAGTTCCGTAATTATTACGACTAAAGGTTAGTGAAGATTAGCTCGGATTGAATTTAGTTGTCTACCACTTCGAGGTATCTAGTTGGAGTCCTCTACAGGAAGCTTACTGCAGACAGCGAGTACTACAATCGTGTGCTGGAAGAATTATCCCTTTCTACGCATCCCAGATTCACTCATTTCCTGATCCTAGGGGGTTCAATCATCCTAAAGTCAATTTCACAGAACATTCGTAAGCTGGATGTGAAAACTCTTCTGAAGCTTGCTTCTTAAACCTCATTGAGGATCTGGGATTGTTCGAATATATGAAGTCGGCAACTTATTGAAGAAACAGCCAGACGCCGTTGCGCTTAGACAGAGTATTTAAAAGCGAAGAATTCTCAGTTGACAACCTCTCAATCCTGGCAATACGAACATATAAGGAACATATGCACAAAGGCAACAAGAAGAGACAGGTTTCAGTACCAGATGAAGCTTATGGATAAATTTGACTTCAATTCGAAAAGCTTATTCCGTTATTCAGCCTCTCTTCGACAAGCCAAAATTAGAGCTTTTCAATTGCTGGGTCCTAATCGCCAACCAATAACTACGGTGACACCGCCAACCTTCTGGCTAAACAATGCTCTCGGACGTTTCAATCGACCCACAATAACTACATTGATGAAGGCTTCATCTACAACTGCACAGGACTTTCAGTGAGCCGAGCGCTGACGTGGTGTACCGGAAACTGCAACACTTCTCTAAGATCACATATGGCTCATTCTGCTATACTGAGGGAAGCAGCATCAATCCTGGCAACACAGCTAAGCATGATGTTATCACGCTCGCTAAACCAAGGCAAACTACCGGAAATTTGGAAGCTGGCTGGTATCACACCAACGTTCAAAGCAGGTCGACGCAGCGAAGCTTCAAGCTACCGACCAGTGGCTCTTCTCTCCATACCTTCAAAAATTATGGAGTCCCTGATTTGCTACGGTATACACGACTATTTATCATCCTTAAACTTTATTTTACCCCAACAACATGGTTTCACGAATAGTCACTCTTGTATAACTCACCTGCTGACCGCGGTGGACAGATGGACAAGCATCCGCGATCGCAAGGGGAAGGTTGACGTCATTTACCTTGACTTCTCAGAAGCTTTTGATGGGGTCAACCACATATGTCTTATCAATAAGCTCAAACGATTGGGTATCAAATCACCTCTAATTGATTGGCTCACTTCATATCTAAGGACTCGATATTTTAAGGTCAGGGTTAACTTCACTTTCTCCCAGGCTATGGAATATTCCGGTGGTCCCCCAGGCTTCAGTACTAGGAACTCTTCTGTTCTTGATTTATATAAACGGTCTCCCACAACTGGTATCGTATGAGTTATCACTTTTTGCTGATGATGTGAAACTCTAAAGAGAGAGATACGCAACCAAGAGGATATACTGGCACTCCAGGAGGATCTGACTTGACTTAAAAGTCGGGCAGATGACAACGGACTTACCTTAACACTTCAGTGTGTAAAGTAGTCCATCTGAGACATGTTGCAGACTTAAGTTACAGCTTATGCAGCTCCTCTCTAGAAGTACCCTGAGTCGAAAAATATTTAGGAGTGTTGGTACCCTACGGTTTGAAGTCTTGCGCTAACTGTGACCGAAATGTCTTTCGAGCAAACCTTGCACTGGTAACATTGAAGCGCATTTCACGCTAGTTTGACGGAAGAACTTTCCTCACAATCTTCAACATTTTCATTCGTCTCCATTTGGAGTACGGAAACATAGTATTTCCTCCCTCTCTCCAAAGGATAAGACTCTCTGGAGCGTATCCAACGGCGAGCTACGAAACCAGTCTAGGGACTCAAATCCAAGCCTTATCAAGAGCACCTCCAATGGATAAACCCTTACCCATTAGAATACGGGCGTCTTAGAGTTGGCGTTCTAATTGCTTGCAGTATCCTTAACACTTCTGGACATCCCCTTAAACACCTAGTTCAGTTTACCTCCAACACAAACCTAAGGGGTAACACTTAGAAAGTGGAGACACAACATAGCAGAGTGGACTGTAGACTCAACTTCTACTCCTTAAGAGTTTTCAAATGCTGTAATTCGTTTCCGACTGAGCTAGTTCAAGCAGCTTCTCAGGAGTCCTTTAAGAGGAAACTTGACCTATTCTTAAGGACTAAGGATAATATCTTACTATGATTTACCAATTTCTTTTTTCGTTCATTATCGTTAATATATCTGGGTTCCGGCCTGGAGTTATTGGTGATCCACTGCTACTACACACGGAAGCCCGTTAAGCGGAAGCTTCTTTTATTCCGTCCACAACCATTTGAACCATTTGGACTCTGTTTCCGACAGCATCAAAGTTTTAAAAATGTCAGATCATTGGATAGATAATAAGGATCATGGACCATAAACGCCTTTTATGAAGCCTGAAACCGTTTCAGTAAAATTAGGTCTCATGTTTTTAATCTCCTTCTTGCACGAGATGTGTTGGAACAAAAAAATTGTAGATGCATTTGATACTTCTTAACTTTACGGAAACGTTAGACAGTCAACTGATCGGGTACAACTGAAGAGATTTTACTGTGAGAAACACCAAGAAGAGATAGCTAAGAAGCAAACTAGTTTACACTAGCTCGTCACGGAAACGTTGGATACTGTACCTTTTAACCTTGATTTTCTTGTGTTTTTTCAAATATGCACATTGTTTTCGCAAAAGAGTCTGAGGTCTAACGTTATGCATTTCTGGCTGATTGTAATGATATGCACAAGGCCTTTCTAAAGTTTCTACCATTTGTTGTTACTACTGACTTTAAGAGGATTAGACTAACAGCCTTTTTTAAGTTGGTGCTTTGAAATGTCTAAATCACCAATACCAACAGTGAAAGGACAAATATTTGAGTTAGGACCAAGGTTTGACAACGTTCAGTATGTTGGGGAAGGTGCGTATGGGATCGTTGTGTATGTTGGTTCGTTTCATAAACTATGATTAAGATCGGCGTTTGATTGTCAGCGTAATGAAAAAGTGGCTCTGAAGAAAGTTTCCCCATTTGAACACCAGACATACAGTCAAAGAACGTACAGGAAATCTGGATACTTAGTAGAATGGACCATGAAAACGTTTGTTATTGGAATGTTTGCATTCGCTTACAAATAAATTTACAGGTTGTAAAAATCCATGATATTATAACGTCAAACACATTTGAAGAGATGAAAGATATGTAAGTCTATAGTACTGTCTAATTGTATATTCACTGTTAAGCTATATTGTTGAATGTTTCATGGAAACTGACCTGTGTCGCTTACTAAAGACACAGAAATTAAGCAATGATCATATTTGCTACTTTTTATATCAAATGCTTAGAGGTAACCTTGTATCATCCATTCATGATTCATCTTCAGGCCTCAAGTACATACATTCTGCAAATGTTCTTCATAGGGATCTTAAGCCATGCAACATCTTGTTGAATGCAGCGTGTGACTTAAGAGTAAGTCTCTGTACGTTTTCGGATTTTTATCACACATGCTGCCGAAATCCATACATGCAAAACTTTCAATTTATAAACATTACATTACTTGATTAGTTCCTTTTATAATAAATTTACTCATTAACTGTTTGATGAGCCTGTAGTTTGTCAATCCAAGTGTTTTAATGTTTATTTTTTACTATTGAGTGGATGTCATTACTCGTATATAATAGTAATTGAAATTCAACCTGTTTTAGAATTCTACCTAAGCAAAATCGTTGTTTTAACAATTGTCAACTAGAATGAGTTCTAGATCATGAAGTTGGTTTATTTTGAGATGTACAACCTGGTTATTGTCCTAGCAGTTATTATCATTGATGGATCAAGGTATCAATTGAATTGGGTACAAATCAATTTCTGTAGTCAAAATACACCCCATTTCATCCATAAAACTGTATATTCTCTTACAGCCCTTAATAATTAGGGTTACATTTTTGTTTGAAAGCCATGTTCTCCATATCATCTTTATTAATTTAATTTGTTTGATTTCCCTCTCAGTGATTTCACACGGTACTGTAGGAGCTTGGACTAAATGCATTTGTGCAAAATCCTTTGTTATTTGTGCCTAGCTATCCATTTTTGTGTGTTATATACACTATTATGCTAATCAACCGGTTAATTTTGTGACTTACATTTTATCAATGACCAGAAGCCATCTCCATAAAGTCTATCACCTCTAATAAACTCGTTTTTAGCCACCTAATGAACCACCCAAACAAAAAATTGTGCACAAGTAACGAATGTCACAAACTAATGCGTTGGTCAATGAAACACCTAGCTTCTAACTGATAGGTCAAATTTTGAAACCTTACGATGCGCACTTCAGTTTAAATGGATGGATAACATCACTAACTCCCATGCAGACAATGTGGCTTACAGACGAGAATATAGGCCTGTACCGGGTAGATAAATTCCATTTTTTTTAATTAATCACGCAACCAGTTGTAAACGCAAATATATATATTTCTAGGACGTTCTTATATGTGTGGTATTTCGTCGATTAAATGCTTAAATAAGGTTTAGTAACAAATGTATCCTTGGAAACTTATGTGCATTCAACAAATCGGTTACATGCGGCACAATATTTCCACACAAATGCTTACACAAAGCTACATGAGTCTCTTTGGATCATACCACGGAGAACCAGATAGATCATATTTGTATCGATAAAAAATCCAGAAGGACGATGAAGGACATGAGGACGAGGAAGGGAGATGACACAGCTTCAGATCACCACTTGATTATGGCCAAGATGAAACTGAATCTAATGAAGCACTGGACAACTGGATAAACAGCAGTAAAAAGGTTCAATTTAGCCTTCCTACAAGATTTTAACAAACTCACCGAATTCGCGACAACTCTCAACAACACGTTCCAAGTGTTACAGGATCTACTGAAAAAAGAAAAAAACTACTATGGAGGACAGTTGGAAGGGGATCAAAGAAGCGTGTCAGGAGGTTCTGGGCCACAAGAAGCATCATCCTAAGAGATGGATCTCTATGGGAAACTTGCACGAGGTTCAAGAAAAGAACAACAAGATAGCAATTAACAACAGCCAAACAAGAGCAGAGAAAGTCAAAACACAAACTGAATACACTGAAGCAAACAAGCAAGTGAGGAAGAGCACTACAGCCGACAAGCGGAAGTATGTGAAAGAGCTAGCAATGACAGCGGAAAAGGCTGCGAGAAGGAGATATGAAACAACGAAAAACTAGCAGGGAAATATAGTAAACTAGGGAGACCGGTTAATGACAAAGAAGGAAAGAGGTCACCGAGGTACAAAACAGAGGAACAGATGGGCAGAATACATCGAGGGACCTTTGAATAGACCAGCTTCATTGAATTCACCAAACATCGAAGCAGAACACACAAACCTTTTTATAGATGTCACTTCACCAACGACGGAAGAAATCAGAATAGCCACCAGACAAATCAAGAGCGGGCATTTATCAAGACCTGACAATATACCAGATAAAACACTGAAGTCAGACATATAAGCAACTAAAAACATGCTCCACGTTCTGTTCAGGAAGATTTGGAAAGAAGAACAAGTGCCGACGGACTGGAAAAAAGACACCTCTTCAAGATACCAAAGAAAGGAGGTCTAAGCAAAGGTGAGAACTACAGAGGCAACACACTACTGTCAGTACCAGGTGAAGTTTCCAACAGAGTGTTGCTGAACCGGATGAAAGGTTCAGTAGACACCTGACGTTGAGATAAACAAGCTGGATTCCGTAAGGATTGGTCGTACATAAACCAAATCGCGACATTACCGATCATCGTTGACCAATCAGTTGAATGGGACTCAACTTCCTTGACTATGAGAAGGCGTTCGACAGTGTGGATAAGAGGACCTTATGGAAACTTCTTTGACACTATGGTGTACCTGCCAACATCGTTGACATCATCCGGAATTCATATGAAGGACTACAGTACAAAGTGGTTAATATTTGATAAGATAACATCTATCAAGAGTTTACAAGACTTTAAATGTCTATTCACAACTATATTAATAATAACCTCAAAAGATTTACTATACACTTTGCTAACTACCTTTTCTTACAAGTTTATTTATTTTTATTGCATAGTAAAAAATTTTTATTCAATAATTCAAGCAAACCAAAATTTATTGTGAATGATTTAAATTAAGCAATTGTAATAAAATATTGTTACAGTTAGTGATTATTCTCTATTTATATCCTGTGTGTATCTCTTCCTCCCCCCCTCTCTCTCTCTTTGTGTGTGTGTGTGTAAGTTTAATCGTCAAGTAGTTTAATTTGGACAACTAATTGAAACCTTCTTTTTTCCTCTTGACATTTCGTTAATATAGGCAAAAAACATTTTACAGAAAATAAAATTTGATTATATAATAAAATTAATTGAAATATAAGAAATTAGAAAACATCGGACTATTGATCTGTTTTTTGTTTGTAACTTCTTAGTTATGATACTTTAACAGTTAATTTGCATGAGAAAAAAATTAGTTTAGAACTTTCTAACTTTATGATTTGACTGCATTTCATGAAATAATCATGATCAATGGTTAGAAAGGTTGGATTCCGTAAGGATCGATTGTGTACAGTCTAAATTGCGACATTACGGATCATCATGGAACTCGTCACTATACATCAATTTTCTTGATTATGAAAAGGCGTTTGACAGTGTAAATAGGAGAATATTATGTAAACTTCTTCGACACTACGGAGTTCCTGAGTAGATTGTCAACATTCTCCGGAACTCACACGACGGACTACAGTGCAAAGTGGTGCATGGAGGACAACTGTCAGATGCATTCCAAGTAAGGATTGGAGTCAAACAAGACTATCTACTCTGCCCATTCCTGTTTCTTCTGTGGTCGACTGGACTATGAAGACCTCGACATCTGAGGGAAAACACGGGATACAATGGACAGTTCAGAACCAATTAGACGATTTGGGCTTCACAGATGACCTAGCTCTCCTATTCCATACACAAGAACAAATGCAGAAGAAGATAGCCAATGTAGCAGCAGTCTCTGCATCAGTGGGTCTCAATATGTACAAAGGAAAAAGTAAGATCCTCACATACAAGACGGAGAACACCAACCCAATCACACTTGATGGCGAAACTATGGAAGATGTGGAATCGTTCACGTACATGGGAAGCATCATCGATGAACAAGGAGGATCGGATGCAGACATAAAGGCGAGGATTGGCAAAGCACTGGCCGCATTCCTACAATTGAAGAACATATGGAACTCAAAACGATTATCTATCAACCAATATTAAAGTGAGAATGTTCAATAAGAACATCAAGACAGTTCTACTATACGGAGCTGAAACAAGGAGAACTACCACGACAATCATCGAAAGTGTACAAGTATTTATAAACAATTGTCTACTGAAGATACTAAATATCCGTTGACCGTATACCATGATCAATGGCGTACAGTGGGAGAGGACAAACCCGGTTCCATCTGAGGATGAAATTAGGGAAAAGCGCTGAAAGTGGATAGAACATACATTACTGAAGTCGCCAAACTGCATGACGAGGCGCATCTGAACTTGGAATCCTGGAGGGGGACGGAAAAGGGGAAGACCAACGAACAAATTGCGTCGCGGATTGGAAGCAGGTATCCAAAGAATGAATAGCAATTAGAAACTGCTGGAAAGGAATGAACAGAACAGAGTTCAGTCGAGAATTTCGATCAGCGGCCTATGCTGTGGGTATTGGGTATTTCACCGAATGATTCTCTGGATGCAACTTGTTGTTGTTTGTCACTGTCTATCTAAGCATAAAGAAGTGAATATCACCAAGTAAGTTGAACCAGGTAATCTCATCACAGGAAAGATGCCATTTAAGCACAAAATTACGTATAGAAGATCAAAAATGCGCAAAATAAATAGACGGTTTTCCCTTTAGTGAGACTTGTGTAATCGAGTTATTCAAATGTAAAATTAAACCAGCCAGACAAGAAACTTTTGTATTTCCAAAACGATGAAATTAAAGTACTAGGTTTTAACAAGAATCAGTGTTAAACAATACAAAACTGGTTACTTGTTAGAGGAAGAATAAACTCTTGATGAACTAGGAACATGTTCTTATTGAGAAGTGTAAAATCAAACCACTTAACTCCAGAAGTATCAATGAAGACAAGTTGGAGCTGACCATCCCAATTCTAGACTGTCTCGATCATACAAAAAACGTGGAAAAGACAGGGGATACCAACACGGAAAACCTTGTTCAAGTAGGTTACCTGTCCATTCACGCAAGGCTCATACAGACAAACAGGAAGAAGAAGCTCATACATTTGGAATCAAAAGCACAAACTACTTATACATGAACGCCGCGAGCTTGCCAAATAAAATAGATGAGCTACGTGAACTCAGCAATGCTAATATTGCTCACCTGTTAGAAATATCTGAAACTTGAATATCTCGGTTTACGGACCACGAGCTAGCAATCCCCGAAATGTCTTTGT